GCCATTTATTCAAGGAGCCCAAACCAGTAATTTTTTTTTTTTTTTTTAGTTTCCAATAACATTTATTAAACATCAACTTTGTGCCAGCAATTGCACAAGATATCCTCATACTGTCTCATTTTAGCTTAACAACAATTCAGGGACATTATTCTTCCTGTTTTATAGCTAATGAAATAAGGTTCAAGAAGATGGAGAGCTTCGTTCCTTATTGCCACTTAGTTGCAAAGTCTAAATCTGAATTCACAGCTATTGACTTGAAGTCTAGGACTCTCCAAGGAACCACAGAGAACTGTTCAGATGCAACATGGGAGCCCCAAACTGCATGTGTGCCAGCTTCTTACTCGAGTTTGCATCCTGTTGCATCCTGATGGCATCATCGTGGCCTGGGGATCTATGAGAAATCTCTGAGCATTTTCAAAACAAACATTTCCCCCTGAATTCCTCCCTGAGCCTCACCTCACCTCTCCCATGCTCACAGTGTTGAACCCTCCTCTGTACTGGTCCATGTCCTCCTAGAGCAGAGACCCCGCCACATCCAGGTGGAGTCCTCTCAACCTGTGACTGAGAGGCTTGTTACGCTGGGCCCCACAGCTTTATGAAAAGAATCTGCAATTGTGTGTGTAACAGAGACAGTTCCATTCTTAAACACATACACATACGCACACACATATTCATATATAAGTAAATAAACTCATACATGTACACCTATATATAAACATCCATGCTCAACTCCGTAGGAATTTTAGCAAGGACCAAGAGAACATGTTACTTCAAAGAGGATCTACCTTTGGGCTTTTTCTTAGGGGAGGTGGAGCCATCCTAACTCGACCCCAGGCTAGCTAGAACTGGCCTTCTGCTGCCTCTTGACCAGTTTTAAGTCTTGACACCAGGCAAGTGTGGGCTGCTTCTCCCTGTTAATAACCTGTAGAGATCCCCCATTCACTGGAGCATTGGCCTGAGAAAAGCATGACTTAGAAGTTGCTAGTGAGATTCCCCCAGGCTGGGTAGGGCCTCTATCACTCAGATCAAAATATACATCCAGACTTCAGATGCCTGAGGCTCCCATTCATTGACCGCTCCATATGCAGAAGAGACACAGACTGAGATGAGGTCTCCCTTAGGAGAGAGAAGCAACCTGGCCCCATGTGGGTTTTATAAGTTTATTGGTAAGACACAGGAGCAGGGAGGTGAGGCCCAAACAAGGACAAGTACTCACAGATGAAGAGCACAAATCCCTTGATTGATAAGATTGGCCTCAAAGAATACTCCCAGCTATGTAATATGCAGTGGATATGCAAGATACAACCTCCCACCAGGCGTTTTGCCTGAGCCGGTGCTGCTCTAACACAAGACAGTTCTTGCAAGTCTCTCAGTAGATCTGAAACCTTGTGTACCCAGGGAGCAAATGGCCAAATAGTTACTGAGACAAGGTATGAAAGAGCAGCACAGGAAGACTGGGGTTTTATCCTTGAGAGACAGCCTTCCTCTGCATGGGGACATGCAGGCAGAGAAAAGGCCAAGTCTTCATCCAGAAGGGGAGACTGAGTGAAGAGGTCTCTTTGGATGGAGGCAGAAGGATAGGCTCCAGCTCTCGAATCCTGATTCAGCATTAACAAAGACTGAGGCAGAGAGGTCAAGGAGAAGCGAGAGAGGTCCATGGCAAAGCAAAGGAAGAAGGAGATGAGGACAAATGAGACAGAGGAATTTCCTAGAGAAGGAGTCTGGAGTAGTCTGCCGGAGTAAGGCAGACTACTGGGAAATGGGCTTTCACTTTTATCTCATGGTTTTCTTGGTGGGTGAGCTGAGAGCTAAGGTCTTTCCCTGGGAGTCCTTGAATTCACTTGCACTCCCCAACCTGGTCCTGGCTTCCCCAAGGGGGCTGCAGTTCCCACTGCCAGTAACACAGCCCCCAGGCATCATGCTGTAGCCTCCGCTGACAGAGCTGGGCCAGTAGCCGTAGGTGCCAGCATTGCTGAATCCAAAGCCAGCCCCTGTGCCTGCTGCCCCAGCCATGGAGCTGTTGAAGACCGAAATGCTCACAGAGTTGGTGTATTCTCCAGACATCCTGCACTCCTCGCCCTCCAGCAGCTTGCGGTAGGTGGCAATCTCGATGTCCAGGGCCAGCTTCATGCTCAAAAGCTCCTGGTACTCTCGCAGCATCCATGCCAGCTCCTCCTTGGCCTGCTGCAGGGTGCCCTCCAGCTCATCCAGCTTGGCTCTAGCATCTTTGAAGAAGCAGTCCCCCTGCTGCTCGGTGTTGGCGATGGCCGTCTCCAGGTTGGCGCACTGCTTCTTCACACTCTCAATCTCCGCGTGCAACCTCTGGATTAGACGGGTCAGCTCTGAGATCTCATTTTTGGTGTGTTTCAGGTCATCCCCGTGCCTGTTAGCTGTCAGCAGCAGCTCCTGAAACTTGGTCTGGTACAGGGTCTCGGCCTCGGCCTTGCTCTTTCGGGCGACCTCCTTGTACTGGGCACGGACCTCAGCAATGATGCTGTCCAGGTCCAGGTTCCAGTTGTTGTCCATGGACAGGATGATGGATGTGTCACTGATGTGGGACTGGATCTGAGCGATCTCCCCCTTGTACAGGCACTTGAAAAACTTGATTTCTCCTTCCAGAGCATCTACCTTGGCCTGTAGCTCCACTTTGCTCATGTACGCCGCATCCACGTCCTTCTTAAGTGTTGTATTTGACCGAGTGTAGAAAGTTATCACAAGACAAAAGTATGCCAGATTGCAGGGTCATTTATTTATGCCGGCGACCACAGAGGACTCACGTCTCTCCAACCTGTGGTGGCAACAGGAGGGTGCCACGATTTTTTATACCCGAAAAACCACCTTGGGAGTGGGGGTGAGGGGCACGGATGGGGATGAAAAGGCTTCAGACATTCCGAGGGCTAGTGGATTCTGTAAATTACCTCCTGGGCAGAGATGAGGGTGGGGGTCTCCAGACATTCCAAGGGCTAGGGGACTTTTGTCATTCCGTTTGTTACTTAAGTGGTTTACAGAAGTCAAGATAAACATTTGTTTACACATTATCTGGTTAAGGTGGAAATCACAGACCTTAGTTACTTATTACAAGTCGCAGGAGCCAAGATGGCATGGGTTAGGACTGCTTGCCTGTCACATTAGGGCCACAGAGAGCAGTTACTGATAAGAAAAGGTAAGCAGCTTTACATAGTTTTGAAGAACAAACTGGCAGTTCTATTTACAGAGGCCAAGGACAGTAGTTATTGTGAGGAGAATGGGGCAGCCATTTCAACTTATCTAAAAACAGTTTTGCATTTTATAAAATAGTTTTGCTCTGGTTCTGGCTCTAGGCCAGCACAATATCACATAAGCACCACAAATTCATTCTCAGAGTTCTTGCAGTTGTTCAGGTCCAGCTGCTGCAGCAGCTCCCACTTGGTCTCCAGCACCTGGTTCTGCTGCTCCAGGAACCGCACCTCAAGTCTGCTTCGTAATTCTTCATTCAGTCTCCCGCTGGGAATCGCATCACCTCCTGCATAGAGTAACAAGGGCAGCCCTTCTCCCCAGACCAGTAATTTTTGACCAGCAACACAATAAAGGTGAAGTTCAGAGCAGCTAAAAGATGACCTGTTTGAAAATAGGCTCAGCATACAAAAATTAGCTGGGCATGGTGGTGGGTGCCCATAACCCCAGCTACTCGGAAGGCTGAGGCAGGAAAATCACTTGAACTCCGGAGGTGGAGGTTGCAGTGAGCCTAGATCGCGCCACTGCACTCCAGCCTGAAAGGTACCAAGGCTTATACATGCAGAATTGGTATAGATGACCAGTGATGTTAGTAGTCAGAGTTCACCAATTAGATAAAACCAGCTTTCAAATTTGTGTGGCAAAACAGTGTCACCTGCTGAAGGTCCACAGAATGCTTGGCTTCTGCCCTGAAGCATGAGGAGACAAAATAATATGGGCAGGGCAATGACAATCTCTAGAAGGTCACAGTAACTAGCAAATGATGGGAAGGACTTCTTCAGCTCATCAGAGACATTACTGGGCTTTCCTGGAAGGCTTCTGGTAGGCCCAGCCTTGGAGTATGTAAGTTAGAGGGAGGTGATTTCATGAAAGTTGGAAATATCTCCAATTGCATGGGGCACTCCCTGATCCCTCTGGGGAGAGCAACATCTGGGGAACTGCACTGGAAAGAGGGAGGAACCTCCACTTCAACAGTCACTGAGCTAAAGTCAGACTTTTCTCCTCAAGTTGTTGTAATTGGTTCATGAAGAGCTGGCCCC